ATAGAGTAAATAGTCATTTATGTCTAAGAAGGAGGCAAGTACAATCACATTAGTCTTTGAAACTATAAAATATTAAATAGGCTAAAACACTAATTTGGTACCTTATATTAATTGTTTGTTTCAATTTAATCCCATTTTAATTTTTGGTTTCAATTTGGTCCCAAACTAATTAATTGGTTTCAATTTAGTCCCAAATTAATTAATTAGTTTCAATGTGGGACTTCCGTCTGAATTATTTAAACGGAGTTAACTTTTAGCCACGTGGATGCCACGTAGATGCATACGTGGATGCCACATGGATGCCAATTTTTTTTAAAACACCTGGACCCAGAACGGCCCGTTCTGAAACCGGAACGGGCCGTTCTGGTTGCACTTTTGGTGTTTTAGTTTTGCATCCGGAACGGCCCGTTCCAGGTGCAAAATTAACACACCAAAAGTGCATCAGAACGGGCCGTTCTTGATGCAAGAAGGAAAGGTAGTAGCATATGTTTCTAAGAATTGAAAATTTATGAGAGGAATTACCCTACCCATGACCTTGGGTTAGCGGTTGTAATATTTATTCTAAGATTTGGAGACACTACCTATATGATTATAAGCTTGAGGTGTTTATTGATCATAAGAGCTGTAAATAATAGATTGAGCCGAAGTAGTTAAATACGATACAAAGAGATAGCTGGAATTTCTGGAGGACTAGGATTTCAATCTTAGTTGTTATCTGAGTAAATCCAATGTGGTGGTGGATGTTTAAAATAGGAAACCTTTACATTTATCTTCCCTTATGATTAGTGTAGACACCCAATTTCGTCCGGGGGCATACAAACAAGGACATGGACCTCTGTTATGAAGGGAAGGAGCTCCCGAAACACGCCAACAAGAAGACAGGACCTTAAAGGGCCCAAAAGCACAAGTTGAGTTTTTTATTGGCCCGGAACGGACCGTTCCAAAATCGGAACGGGCCGTTCCAAGGTCCAGAACGGGCTGTTCTAGATTTGGAATGGGCCGTTCCAAGTCTTTTAAAGGGGCCAAAAAACCCAAATTGGAACGGGCCGTTCCAAAATCGGAACGGACCGTTCCAAACTCATCCGAAAAGGGTTAAAAGGTTAACTGGAACGGGGCTGGAATGGGCCGTTCCTAAATCTGGAACGGGTCGTTCCAAGGCCGTTCCAGACCAAATCATGTGGGCTTAATTTGGCCCCAGAACGGGCCGTTCTGAAATCAGAATGGGCCGTTTTGGTTCCCCGGAACGGGCCGTTCCGGTTTCA